ATAAATAAATATTTGGGCTCCTACAAGTTTCAGTAACATTTTTTGTGCAATTCTCTGAAGATTCATGTATTACTTTAAAACAAAGGAATATGAATTCTAATGTGAGAAACTATGTAACATAACAATTAGATGATAGGGTTTAATAAAAATGCTGTAATAAGACTCAGATTTTAATATAGATCATCTTAAAGCCAGTATAGGAAAGTCTTATTTGGCTTGTAAGCATTTCAAATGTAGAGATATTTTCAGTCTAAACCGCCAACATGTGACATAAGAGCAGCCAAACACAAAATATAGACTTTGATATAAACATTCTCATGTTCCTGCTTATTATTCGTCTTTCAACCTCTATGATTTATCCTCAGATCTTTCCGAGTGAACTCCAGAGTGCATCGTGTGTGTAGCAACGTTAGAAAGAGGCATGCTTGCCATATCAAGCTGGGATAAATGGTCTTGAGTTTGTTGTTCCGTGATTTTCTTTTGTGTGTTTTTAAAATTACATTATATTATACTATATTATATCTAAAAATGACTAGTTATTACAAATTGTAATTATTATAATTATTATTTTTATTACAAAAAATCTTACAAATAAGTGGATGGGATAGTCACTTTTTCTTTTTTTTCTCTTTTCTTTAGAAAAACAGAAAAAACTTTTATAATCTTTACGGTACTGTGCAAAAGTCTTGAGCCACTCATCCTTTCTTTGTGTTTTACTAAGAAAATGGGAAATAGGTTCAGCAAGTTATTAAAATATGTGCAAACATAGATGAAAATGCTGTAATTTGAAAATTCTAACTAAAGTCAAAATTTGGTATGACTGCCTTTATTCTTCTACACAGCCTGAAATCTCTCAGGTATCTTCCTTGTAATTTATCTCAGTAGTCTTCAGAAATAGATCTTCAGGATTCAGGAGATTCTTACTTGGATGTTGGCTTCCTTTTGTTCTGTTCTCTGTCAAGATGATAATAAACTGCTTCAATAATGTTGCAGGAGGCCAATCAATGACTGGTAGCGTTCAGGTGTGTTTTTCACCCTGCTATGCTTTTACTGCATTGGTAATATGTTTGGTATCAATGTCATTGCTCAGAAATAAAGACACGGTCCTTTCCAGATGGTATTACATGTTGGCAAATTAAAATTCTTGACGCCACTGCTTGACATGCAACTCCAAACCATGATTTAGCCTCTGCTTTGTTCCACAGATGGCTGTAGACACTCACTGTCGTACCGCTCTCCTCTGATAATAATTTAATATACAAAAATGTACATTTGGATTCATCACTTCATCAGACCTGTTGCCACTGATTTTCAGTCCAGTTCTTGTCTAATTTTGGATACCTCAGCCTTTTCTCCCCATCTCCCCTCGCTAGAGATTAGCCTCTTGACAGCCACCTTTCCACTGAGGGTGAACAGACAGATGAACTGAAGGGCCTGATGCATCTCTCAGGTCCTGTTTCAGGTCTTTCATTGATTTGTTTGGGATATTTCTCAAGGATATGACTTTCAGAAGCTGCTGATAGTTGGTTAGACCTGTCACTTCTTTAGTTGTCCACACTGTCCAGCTTCCTCAAACTTAAGGGCACACTGTACACCATGGAGGTTTTATGCTAATATCTTGATACAAAAATGCTACAAAATTTTATACAATTTAAAATCATTTAAAATAGTTTCTTTGCCAAGTTGTCTGTTATGTGTAAGCACATGACTGGTTCATCCATGAGTCACAGGTTAGTGTTAGAAGTTTAAACTCCCCGGAAGGACATTATCACTTACTTTGAAACCAAAGAAAATAAATTATGTGCCATTG